TTATAATGCAGAATGCCTTTAAACAGCTTTCCATTAGAACCACGTCAGTATGGACTCCAGAAAGGAAGGAACGTAGAAGCCTGAGCGTGGCAGTATAAGTGTGATGTTCTGTCTGAAAGAGGCCCTGTGCCGTGGACTGGAGCAGTGCTATCTGCTTGGGAACTGGGTGTTGGGAGTTGCCTGGCATCTGAACCACTTCCCTGCCCCACTGACCGATTATGGTTTAGTGTGGGTCTCTTAGCAGATGGTGCAGGCGCAGAGCTTTTCTTGAGATTTCAGGGGTGCTTTGCTGCCCCACGCCAACAAGTGCTTGCCAGTCTAAAAACTAAGAACTCTGTAGAACTTTGTTACAGCTGGAGGACGCCGGGGCCACTGAACTCTTGGGCGGCATGGTTCGTGGCTAGAACCTAAGACTTTTGGTTGGAGAGTAGGTGAGCCCCGAGCCCCCTGCTGCTTAAACCGGGGCCTGTTGTTGAACTCAGTTAACATCTCCAGGTCTCAGTTCCTTGTCTGTAACATAAAAGGGCGAACCTACAGTTTGTTTTGAGGCTCAAGTGAGATTCAAGAGGACTTTAGAAACCTTAAGCCCTACAGCAGGGTCATAATCTGTGCTGCATGGAATCAAGACACATGGATCAGGTCCCTAAAACACACCTCCTGGATAAAATATAAACATTTGTGTCCATCTGTGGCAGGAGCACAAACATGTCTTTTTTTTTTTTTTTTTTTTTTTTTAAGTTTATTTATTTATTTTGAGAGAGTATGTGGGAGGAGCAGAGAGAGAGAGAGAGCGAGAATCTGAAGCAGGCTCTGCACTGTCAGTGCGGAGCCCAGTGCGGGCCTTGAACCCATGATCCGTGAGATCACGACCTGAGCGAGATCACGACTTGAAACCAAGAGTGGGACGCTTAACTGACTGAGCCACCCAGGCGCCCCCAACAGGTCTCTTAATGGCAGTGTCAGGGTGGGTTCCTCTGTAACTTTGGGTCACTTTCTAGATAAACAACCCAGACATGCGAGTGCAGATCCTCAAAGATTATGTCAAACAGCACTTCCCTGCCACCCCCCTGCTTGACTATGCGCTGGAAGTCGAGAAGATTACCACCTCGAAGGTAAAAGAGAAAATATCCCTAATTTCCAACTCATTGTTGTGGGTGAATTTCTTGGGGAAAACAAGAGTCAGCCTAGCTTCTGATTGTGCAGCCAAAATCAAATCTGGTGTTCTGGGAAATTTTATTTCTGTTGTACTACTAAGTTCAACAAATACATACTGTCAACTAGGTGTTGGGTCCTTTGCTAGACATTGGGAATTGAACTGACTCTTTCTTTCCTAACCAGCTATGATGTTTTGGTGGGAGGTTTTTAAATTGTGGTCAGAATTTGTAGTTCTATTACTAGTAGTAATTGTGGAAAATTACAAAGAAAAAATGAGAAATGATGAGAAGTGCTTTGAATTTTTTGCCTTCCCAGAAACCAAATCTTATCCTGAACGTAGACGGTTTCATCGGAGTTGCCTTTGTAGACATGCTTAGAAACTGTGGGTCCTTCACTCGGTGAGCTCTGTGGTCATTTTTCTTCTACTTTATTTATTTATTTATTTATTTATTTATTTATTTATTTATTTATTT